TTACAACAGAGTTTGGCTAAGCTGCCGCTGCCTCTGTCGCTGTTTCTGTTTCTGTTTTGTGTGTATGTTTTTTTTTTCTTCTAGTTTTTGCCCTTCAACCGTTTCCCTTGTCCCGCTGCTCCGCACTGAGCGGCAGTTTGGGATTTGGCCTGACAGCTCGCTCGAAATTGCGACTGTCAATTGCATTTAATTCGAGTTGTTGCTGGCGGTTTGACCTTAGCCACAGAGAACACAACAACTACAAAAAAAGATCAGAAAACAAAAATACATGGGAAAAACTTAAAATCGACAGCTGAACAAAAGTTAGCTGCAAATTTTAAAAAGCAATGGAATACACAGATGTTTCTTAAACAGCTTGCGTATACTTAATATGTCGGCGACGTATGCATTGTAAAGCATACGCCCCGTGTGCTGTGCTTAAGGCGAAGCCGCTGCCAACGTTTACAGTTTCAAAGGCAACCGGCTTACAGCTAGACGAGTGTCGAGTGGCTTAATAAACCGTTAAAAACAAAGAGCTTTTTCGCGACTGCTTTTGAAATTTGGCGCCAGCTTGCACAGTCACACACATACACAGAAGCACACAGACACATCATCCGTGAGCGCAGTGAAGGCAAACGAACAACTTGAACAAAGAAGCACTTGGCTGGCTCACACGCAGGCACACACTCTCACATACACACAAGCATTGTGGTAAAAGCTTTCAAGTACCAGCAACAAAAATAAGGAAAGCGAAGCTGCCTCGGCTGCTGCGTCGACGTTCGCGTCGTCCTTTTCATCTGGGCAGCGGCATTTAAGAGACTTTCGGCAACCCAATGCGTGCCCCACACACACACACACACACATACACACACACACACACACACACACACGCTCACACTCACACACACACACACTTGCACAGGCATTCATGCTCGTCTGTATTTGTGAATGCGGTGAAATAAACGGTATTCAACACCATCGACTTTCACTAACGCCACCTCGCGGCCGCTGCACAGATTAAATTAACAGCGCTCTGTGAACCAAAGATGCCCATGGTGGGATCAGGACGAAAAGGACATAAGAGCGAACTTCCAAGCCCTTGAGCGCAATGAAGCGTTCGCTGAGACTGATTCGCACTGCCAGCTCTGTGAAATGCGAGAAAGTCACCACAGCAGCAGCTGTTAATGTGGTCCTGACTGTCCCGACTATGCTACAGTTTTATTTGTAGCAATATTCGAGCTGTTTTTGCGGCTCAAAGCCAAATGCAAGGTTTTGATTGGCGCTGCTGGCATCGCTTTTCTCGTTTGGTCGTTTCGTCGTTTTTGCCAGGCACTTGTCCAATTTGCCATTTTAGCTGTCAACATTTCGCAGGGCTTTCAGTTGTTGTCGCTGCCCACAAAGCGCTCCTTTGATATTGCATCCCTTGGCATAAATATCGGATTTCTTTTGGCTAAAATATCAACAGCATTGCTTGCATTACTGTTGCCTGCCCGACTGCCTTCCCGCCTGCTCGCCTGCCTGCCTGAGCGCTCGACAAGGACATGCCTTTCGCCTCATTTTGTCTATGGTCTTTATTTCTGCACGCCAAAGTTATGACAACATCAGTTAACGATACGTTTGTTTTTGCCTAGCTGGTTGAATACGCATCATAAAGACAGACACACTCTACAAATTCAATGCTCTTTGCAGTCCTGCGCATATGTTTTTCGTTTGCTTTTTGCTGTGATGCTAACGGTTTATAAAATATGAATTCACTTACGAGTATACATCACACATCAGCCCGAGGCCATTAAGCCAACTCCACTCGCAGCCAAAGGATGCTCTCTGCCTCCTGCCGTTCAATGGCCACTGCATTTTGTTTGGTGCGACCTCAGCGCTTTTTATGTTCAGTTGGCCCCATCATTGTCTTCGCTTTTGGTCTCTGAGAGCCCCTGAATTGGTGTTGTTATTGTGACTCGTTATTTTTCGGCTTTTTGCTTGTTGCCTTTTGCCTTATGCCATATAGCGAACGATCGGCACAAGGAACGAAAATGGCAAGCAACTGAGTGTGAAGTGCTTGCTGCCCCTTTGGCCTCTGTGCGGGGTTAAATGGATTTCTGATTGCACACTGGCAAAAAGGCGACTATTTTAAATTTTCCTGAATTCGGACAAGTGTTTGAAGACCTCGTCAGAGTGTCAACGGGTGTAGGCTTTACAAAAAAATAATTATAAAAAAGCTAGCAACCTAACTATACTCCAGTATGTAAAGATATAACATTGTCTGAGGTCTTTCTGAACTGAACAGTTAAATTTAAGTAATTTTTATATGAATAACTGAACGTTTATAAAGAGGTTACGAATAAAGAGTGATAAAGTGATTCTCGTTTATTAAGGCTTGCTAACTGCAATATTGTTATTATAAATGATAGTATACAAAATATTATTTTTTGTATTATTATTTATACAAACGTGCAAGTGTTTTTTATATTAATAGAAGAAACAACATTGCAAATTTAATTGCTGCTCGCGTTGTGTGTAAAATCGACCCAATGGATAATGGTACAAAATAACATTATCAGGCGGCGGGATGTGTACTGTATACTTTTTTTTATACATTTTCATTTATAAACACAGTAGTTTGTTGTCAATTGGAAAGGCTTAGAAAAAATATATTCTGGTCGTGCTCTCGCCTGCAGCAATCTTACATGTAGCTAAAATGATTTGAAATCTCAATGTGGTAATGTGCAACATCTGGGCACCTGTATTATTGAATAAAACCCTATGCAGCACACATACAAGTTACTAAAATATGCAAATACAAAAACTAAAGGATGCTTCCCGCCCTCCGCACTCCTAACTGCACAAACACATTAAAACAAGCTCGCACCAGTTGCTCTAACACCAAAATCCGCTTTAAAAGGCTCTGTAATGGCACATGGAATATGAACAGAGCAATTATTATTTCCCGACCGAGTGTTATTTTAACATAATGCTGTGGGTGGGTCAATTGGGAGCGACTGCAGGATGAAAGTGATGGAACAACAGAAAAGCTTCATGTGATTTAAAATGCAGAGTTCAGAAACAACAACGAAATTTCTTAATGCAGTACCCTTGCACGGGAATATAACCAAATAGCATGCTTGGCATGGGCCAACTGCTGTCACGCCCACACACACACACACACACACACAATCACACATACAAACAAACACCTACACTCATATGCGGATGCAGTGAGAGTACATTATAACAATGACCAAGTGCAAGCATTAAAGCGAGTACATAAAATGCTTTCTTTGTGGATGATAGTCTGCTGGGTGTTGAATAAAACTATAAATGGAAAAACGTCGAGTAGGAAAAACAAACGAATTTCGGATAGAGCGCATGAAAGATGAAGGCAAGGCATTGTTAAGTTGTGGTTGAAGTCCAGACCACAAGCCACACACGGACACACACACCGAAACTCTCACATAAGCATGTCTTACACCGGACAGTTATGGATATGTTACAAAGGAACACACACACGCGCACTCACACTCTGGCAGTCAAAAAAGGGTATTTCATGAAAGATTTAGCATTCAAATGTGCAGGAAAAAAAGAGAGCAGCCTGCTGGAAACGCTTCTTAGGATCGTGTGCTTTGTAGCATACATTTTGAGGGCTAAATAAAACTACTTAAACGAGTGAATGAACACAAGTAAGAAACATGCTATGAAACGAGCCAGAGATGTTGTATTTTTTAATATGCATTTCACTTATGTTTATTTAAAATGTAAAAGATAATGTATCCAAAGGATACACGCACAACCAACTACGAGTTAGGGCAACATTTGACAAACTGTAAGTTGTCAACAAAAGAAAACTGAAAATTCAAATTGCTAGCTGAAAGCTTATGAATTTTTATACTTAAATAATATACATTTTGCTGGCACTCTAAACGTGGGTGACTGCTTGGCAACACTCAGCAATTTTTTACAGATATATATAAGTATATATATATATATATACGTGTGTGTGTGTGTGTGTGTGTGTGGAACTGTTGTTGCCGCTGATTCTTAATCAGAATCAACTGATCTGGTATGCACAAGCAGAACAAAACCAACGAAACTCTGGCAAAACAAAAAGAATACAGAATAGTAGACGCTATCTTTGCAGTCGTATCTGAGTTCTTGCCTTTAGCTAAAAACCTGACAAGCAACAACGTAATTTACAAGGCGCGTTTACATGTCGCTGGACAGGACGCAGAACTCAACCTGAGCTGAGCCAACCCCAAAAGCTGAGCACAAGTTTTAGTAGTTCGTTGTCGTTTTTTAGTTGTTTCTCTACTGTTTTTGTTGTTGTTGTTTCGCTACTTTCGCTCGTTGCTTTACTCATATTAAATGCAAAAGTCATTGAGCGCCGGACAGCAGCAGGATAAGAGGGCAGCTCGGTGAAGTCGGACCTGCTGCAAAACAACAAGTTTATTTCCACATCCTTGGACATGAGTTTGCTGTAAAATTTCGTGTTGATGATCTTACTAGGTTATGCATTAGTTTTTTGTGCACGCCCAGTTTCGGCCCCCTATCTCTCCTTATCCCTCTCTCTCCCTCTCTCTCACTTATCTCTCCCTCGCTCTCTCCCTCGCTCTCTTGCTTTCAATATCGCCGTTGTCTGTTCTTTCACTTCCGCTTGCAACGCTTGTATTTCCTGTCCATGTAACTTTGATTTTTTGTGTGCTGTCTCTGGGTTAAATCTCGCCAGCGACATGCACCCAAATTCTGTTGCAAGCTCTCGACTCTGCTGTAGTAACTGTTGTTCTTGTTGTTGCTGTTCGTTCGTCTTTTATGTTTATGCAAATTGAAGTTTTGTGCTGCTGCTGCTGCAGCTGCTGCTAACTAATAAATATTAAGTATACGCGCCCTGGACCTTGTTTCTTGTCTGTACACAAATTGAAACATTTTTATACCTTCCAGGATTTGTAGTGGATCGTTTAAAGCTGATGCTCAGATTTACCGATGCATAGAATATCTATAAGGAGTCGGGGGCTAATGGACGTGGCACTTACCTGCTGATGCGCTCTAATAGCTGCTGCAGCGACCGCTTTGAGCGGCAACACAATGCGGGGCGGCGGTGTTGGTGGTGCTCTTGGGGGCAGCGGTCCGGATATTGGCGGCTGTGGCAACGAAGGCAATGCCGGAACTGGAGGCGGATAGTGGCAATGAAATGCAAGCGGCAGCACCAGTGGCGGCGGCTGCGGTGGTGGTGGTGCTGGGGTCTGGCCCAATGGCGGCATCGAGTTTTTAACAGCTGGCAAGGAAGGTGTCTGCTGTGGTGTATATTGCAGCGACTGTTGTTGTTGCTGCTGTTGATGTGGCACGGGCACACTGAACGGCACAAAAATCATAGGTGCTGCATTATTGTAGCTGTTGTTGGTGAAGGCAGGCGCGGTCGAATTAATGTCCATGTTCTTGTCGTGGCAACGATTGGGTAGGCTTAAAGCATAGTTGTTGCTGTTGTGCCTGCTACAGCTGTTCTGACAATGTGGGCCTGCTGCTGGCGGCGGATTGTTTATATATGTCGTTGATGTGGTTGCCTGCCGCTGCGCAGGCGTAGCAGCTGCTTCCAGGCAAGGCAACGGCTGCATCTGCTGTGTGGTTCTTGTCTGTTGCAGCGTTGTGATGCAGCTGATCTGCTGTGGTGGCTGCTGTTGCGGATGAGGCTGTAGTTGATGTTGATGCTGCTGATGCTGCTGGTGCTGCAGTTGATGCTGGTGCTGATGCTGCTGTTGTGATGCCTGGTGCTGCTGCATGGCGGCGATCACCTGTGGCGGCTGCTGCATACGTGGCACGGGTAAATGCTCATAGCTTTGTCTACAACAGCGACAATCCTGACAGCAGGCAGTTGCTGAAGCTGGCGGATTCGCGCTGTTGTTGCAGCAATTGCTGCTGCTTGGCAGCACGTAGGGATTGCTACTGGATCGAACTGAGCCCAAGTAGTCCATCTTAGGCGCCTTGCCTGGTGCCGCTGCTGTCTGCGATGGCTGCCACTGCAGTGCGCACGGCAGGATGCCCATTAAGCGCAGTCCCACGGCGGGACTGGCAGGCTGTCCAGTTGCTAGGTTGTCTATTTTGGCGGCGTCTTCTCTGCTTGTTCAACTGCAAAATAAAGATTTAATAATTGGAGTGAGTGAGTTGTTTATACTATGAGTCTAATTGCGATAGATAGAACCCATTAAAAGTGCATGCGAAAATAACTACTATGTCGAAGAAATAGAAAGCAAAAGCATGGGTACGTGGGGCGGAGAGTGGGAAAAAAAGTAGGATTGCGAAAGAATGACACAAAAAGAAAGAAAGTCTATCAGAAAGAGGTATTGCAAGTTAAGTAGATAAGGTAAGAAATATAAAACGAGAGTAAAAGAGGGACAATTAAAAACAGATAATTGTTACGCAAGATAAAAGAGGGAAGAATTGAAAATGTGGGAGAAAGAGTTCAAATATAGTATTAACCATAAAATCATTATTTGATTCGATGAAAATCGCAAAGAAGGGCGCCAGAAATTGACGAAAGTAAAAATTTGCATGGTATACGTACTCTACCAAAAATGCAAAACCTAAGTCGGAAATATCTTATTTTGCAAGTGAACAACTTTATGATGTAAGATTTAATAAGCTACAGTTCCAATTTCAGCGTTATTAATTTTAAATAAGGCAGTGAACATTGCAAGCATTCGTCCTTCGTCATCTCTCCTTTTAACTTCCTGTAATTTATGAATTATTTTGTGTGCGCGGAAGCAAAACCTTCGGTACGCTTGATTACGATTTTGGCTTCTTAAAACAATTTTGCAAAAACAATGCGTTATTTTTTTTCCTCAATTCAGCTGCTCTAAAATTTGCTGGCATAACGAAAACATTCCTTGTTATTGTTCAGACCTCCTGTGCTGCCTACTTTTCGGCTGCTGGTTGTTGCTTACATTTTCAACATCCTTTGCACCCACGGCCCACTGCCTGCCCGCTGGGTTGGCACTCGTTAGAGACTTTCAGAAATCACTCAAAGTTTTTCAGAACGAGAAAACCAATTTTTCAGCTGAGTGCATTTTAATTTAGTACACACTCCGTTGCCTCCTGTTGGCCTCTTGGCCTGCCATGTTGCAGGAGTGTGAAAACCAAAAATACTATAGGTACGGACCGTATGCTCGTATTGCTGTTAAAAAGGTTTGCTTTTCATTGCAACACGCCTGAAATGGCAACTTTGACAAACAGCAATAACAGCATGGCTCTTTTGCGCCTGCACCTCTTGAAAATGCTGGCAAAATTGGCAGCACCTTTTTCACCATTCCCAACACCCGTTGGTACGTGCCACCCAGAGCTTTGGCTGCCACCGCTACTCCTGTTGTTGACTTCTCACTGCGTTCTACCTTCTTTGACGCACTTTGCCAAAACAAATCCCTGCAACAGCAGAAGCGGCAGCAGCTGCAGCAACAGTAGCAAAACAATGGAATTTTAAATGTGACAAACATGGTAAACACGTCCAACATGAGCAGTGCCAGTACCTCCTGTTGATGCTGCACCATCCCCTTTCTGCCACCTATTTTGAGCAGGATTCAAGCAAATGCTGTAAGCATATTTCAGTGTACCTATTACTAGCACGCTTCTTAGCTACCTAGAAACGTCGAATTTGTGCCGGATGTATAAGAATCAAATTTTTCTTTACCAACGAAAAGGCATCGGCCGAAAATACACTTAAGCCTATATTACAACAAAGAAACTAGGCTTTAAATGTATTTACTTTATTTTATATTTTTACTACGGTTAGTAAATAAATCATTCATTAGCTTTGCACCATAAATTCAGCAAAGTTCAGTGGAAACCCTTTTGATTTTTAGTCCTTAATTGGATATTTAATTGGTTCAAACTACATTTTTAAATGTTGTTGATACATATGATACCTAAACCAATATCAGTTTGATGCAGTTTGTCTATTTGCAATTATCTCTGAAAATACTTACATTTGTTTCCATTTTGCAAATGCTAAGCAAACTCAGGCTTAGGCCATTCACATTTTTCAGCTCGTTTGCCACAATCTTTCGAGGTAAAAGAAAGTTATTTGGAGCCATACCAAATATTTTCTAATAATTCCATAAATACTTCAAACGTACAATGAAAAATATTTCCACAAAATTAAATGAAAACAAAAAGAAAAGCTTGCAGCTCAAGATCAAAAGTTTTCAAGTGTTGTACACCCACACGCACATATCAAATAGTTTTATGTACAACACAGCAACAGCAACAACCACAACAAAAACTACAATAACCGAATATATATGTAAGTGCAATAACTTTTGGCGATTAAGCTGGCAGCATCGCAAACTTTTGTTTTCGCAACAATTTGCCAGCGTGTCCAATTTAAATTTTGTGAAAATATGTTTGCTAAACAACTTATCTAATAGAAAGAAGCTGAATAAGAGTTTCAGATGTGTAGCTTAATTACAAAGCGAATAGCGTACAGACCGAAATAAGCAGTACCATATACTATAAACTGGTTAAACTTTTACCCAAAAAATAGAAGTTATATACACATGTATATATATATATATATAAATATATAAATATATATGCAAATATGCAAGTTGGGTTTGTGGTTGTTGTTGCTGTTGTTGCCATAGGAGATTCATGCGCCACTTGCACGAAAGCCAAAAGTACACAAAAACTTTGATAAAGAATTTGGTAACATCAAAGCAAAAATTTTTAATGAATTTCTTGGCCGATCCCGAAAGCCTCCAAAACGCACCACACACAAATGTTCGGGCGAAGAGGGGACGGAGAATGGGTTGGGCGCTGGCACAGTTGCTGCTGCACAGAGGTAAGGGGTCAAAGGTCTGGCTAGCATGGACAGGCCCCTTCTTTGACCATGGCACGGAAATCGTGTTGCTCGTTGGTGGCCTTAATTAAATTTAAATATTTTATCACCGAAAAATTGCCAGCAACTGCACAGTGACAAGAACAACAATAGCAGCAGAGGCATCGGCAGCATCTCTGGCATGAAAAGGGTGCGGAAATGTTGGCAGTGTATATATGTATATGTGTGGATGTGTTCCTGTTTGTGTTTCTCTTTGTATGTATGTGAGTGTGCGAGTGCAGACATCCAAAAAATACTGATGTGGGTGTATTTTTCATTATTTGCCAAGCGCTGCAACTTTTTTGTTGCCTCACTTTCACATATTGCCCCGCCCCCCACTCCTGTTAGGCCTTCGTTCGTCGCCTTTGCCACACTTCATATTCAATTGTGTTGAATAATTGCCATACGGTTTTTTGACCAACGGTTTTTGACACTTGCCTAAAAGGACACACACGCGCTCAAGTGACGCAGCCGCCCCCGCCCACACGCCCCTGGCAAACGCCGCCCTCATGCAGCATTTGAAGTTGAACTTCCCTTTTGGGCTCTCGACCAAAAAATGAGCAAAACATTCGACACAAGAGGAACGCTGGCAGAGCTGCGGACCGACCCCTGGACACAGCGGCAACAGCAACAAAACATGCCAAAAGCGTTTTTTGAAATATCTTTGTAAATATTTAAAATGTTCCGCACATGCGGGTACTTCAATCATGAACCAAACTGATTCGCCGACGGTTCAAACGGTGGCGGGGGCGGGGTGTCAAAACTGGTCGGTCTGTCGATGTCTGTTGGCTTACGAGGTAGGTGCTAGGTTAGGGCACGACCCTTGTCGCAGGCGTAAGTTTTAAATAGTTTTTGTTGGCCAATGTCAGCATACAATTTGGTATTCATAAATTAATGAAGCATTGGGCAAAAAATCGCATTGGGCTATAAAGTTTTTCCATAAATTATATACCATGGGGCAAAGTGAGTGTACGAGATTTAAGTATGGTATTAAAATATGTAATCCGCATTGTATTTTAAAATCTATCGCATTTAGTTTGTTTTGCAATTTACAAACAAAGATTAGTGTAATGCCCACTCAAAAAGTTGTTAAATTTCAATTAAAAATTCATTCGATTTATTTCGAAGTAGCTAGAAACTAACATTTTATTAATGCTGAAGAGTAGCCTGTACAGAATGATACGAACTAAGCTCTACTTCCAGCAAACGTGAAAATAAAAATAACAAGAAGTTGGCTTGCTATTTATTTTTGCCTCAAAAAACAAGAAGAGCCCATGTAAATTGTATTAAAAATCAAGTATTTATACCCTGAACCCATTAAAAATGGGTATAAGGGTATATTGTATTTGTGCAAAATCCAAATGTTTGTAACAGGCAAAAGGAAGCATCTTCGACACCATAAAGCATATATATTCTTGATCAGCATCAATAGCCGAGTCGATCTAGCCATGTCCGCCTGTCTGTCCGTCCGTCCGTCCGTCCGTCCGTATGTATGAACGCAAGGATCTCAGAACATACTATTGCCAACCAATTTAAGCCAAAATTTAAGTGCAATAGACTTTTTCAGTATACACAAATATTCTATGATACAATAAGATATACTGTCGAAAATTTCATAAAGATCGGTTAAAAAAACCAAAGTTATATGCAACTGCGCAATTAAATAGAGCAGCATCTTTAAGAATTTCTGTATACATGTACAAACACACATTCATGTGCGCCTGCTTCGCATTTTAACAGCATGGTTATTGCGATTTTTTTCTGTAATGCTATTTAAGTTACTTTTTTTATCGTAAGTGCTTAAGTCAAAATTTTGACCCAAATCGACAAAATGGCAAGGGGTAACATCACGTTTTTTTTCAAAATCGAG